TCACAGCAGTGAGAAAGTTGACTAAGACAGGGTCTTTGTGTTGGCTCTTCCCTTCTCCTGTGCCCTCCTCTTCTCCTGGATGCCCAATGGGAGACCTCCCTCATGTCCTTGCAGTCTTTGTTCAGTTGTCACTTTCTCAGTGATGAATTCTCCCTCTTCCCTTTTGAATTTCACAGTCCTATTATTCTGGCAGTTCCGTCTTTTCTTCCATGATGCTTTCCACCATCTGACACACTTGCAGGACTTACTGCTTAGTATCTTTCTCCACATTCCCCTCCGTAGAAACTCTCTTCCAAGGGGGAGAGATGTCGGTCTGTCTTGTTCACTGCTGCACCTTCACAACTCAGATGAATGCCTAATGTAGCAGACGCTCAATAAACATTTGTTCACTGAATAATGTAATTGAATAAACAGCATGTTCCTACCTCTCACGGGGTGTGTGTTGGTTTCCTAGGGTTGCCCTAACAAAGTATGGCGAACTGTGTGGTTGAAAATAGCAGAAATGCACTTTATCAGTTCTGGAGGCCAGAAGTCCAAAGTCCAGGAGTGAAAGGGCCACGATCCCTCTGAAACCTGGAGTGGGGATCTCTCCCTGCCCCTCCTTAGCTTCTGGTGGTTTCTGGCCACCCTTGGTGTTCTTTGGCTGGCAGCTGCCATCACTCCAGCCTCTATTGTCACAGAGTGTGCTCCTTACACAGCTCTATCTCCACACATGATGGTTTCTCTTTTCCTTTTCTGTTTTTTTTTAAAAAAAAGAATACTAGACCTATTGATGGGAGGCCTACCCTACTCCAGTATCCTCATCTAAATTTAAATAATGACGTCTACAACAACCTCATTTCCAAGTCAAGTCACACTCTGAGGTCCTGGGGGTCAGGACTTACATATGTGGGGGAGGACCTAGTTCAACCTATCAGAGGATCTTTTCAGTCCTTCTCTATAATTGCAGTACTCAGGTTATTATTACCCCAATTAATTATAAATCTTCTAATGGAAAATATCACTTTTATATCTGAAAGGCTAAAACCGGCTCTCAGGCTGGATGTGACCTGCCTTGCAGTACTGGCTGTGCAGAGCTCTGAAATTTTTTTGATAGTTTGTGAACATTTAAAGGCTGGGAAACTCCACCTACAGATCTGGATTTCTGGCCTCTGCAACAAATCAGAGTGTCTGGTCACGTGAGCCTACATTACACCATTTCCTCATCCTGGAGCCTAGCAGGGGCTTCCCCTCAGACCAGGCTGTGTCCTTCTCACCCCAGTTACACCTCTCCCTGTGCTGCCCCGACCCGGGGGCTGCGGTCAGCTGCCACTTGTCACCCAGCCAGCTTCACTGACTTCCATTAGCTGCCAGCTCTCGCAGATGTCTGAGCTGCTGCCTCCAAGCACCCAGAAAACATGGAAAAAACAAGGTGACAGTGGGGAAGTGGAGTGTGGGTGGGGCTTCCCCCTTTCCTTTTAACATAGGCTCTTGAACTTTCCTCCGTCAAGCTTTGATCTGTGCTGCTGCCCCGAAGGGCCCAGAGGCAAGCTCTCCGTCTGCCCCTTGCTCACGGTATCCTCGGTAGCTGGTCACCTGGGGCTCTGGAGACACTTTCTTCACTTCACCTCCGTCCCACCACGATCTTGGTTCATACTCCCTCACTGGCCACTCCTGTTTCTTTAGCTGGTTTCTCCTCCTCCCTTCGTCCTTGCATGGCCTGGTCCTCCGTATTCTCACCTCCTGGCCCTCCCTCATTTAGTCCGGTGACTTCAAATACCACTGTACACACTGACAGCTCCCAAAGACTTGCCTTTGGACTTAAAATCAGCACACTACAGCGATGCAGCCACATCAATGTTTATAGCAGCTCAACTCACAATAGCCAAACTATGGAACCACCCTAGATGCCCTTCAACAGATGAATGGATAGAGAAAATATGGTATCACAATGGAGTATTACTCAGCCTTAAAGAAGAATGAAATTATGGCAATTGCCGGTAAATGAATGGAGCTGGAGAATATCAGGCTAAGCCAAATATGCCAATCCCGAACAACCACAGGCTGATTCTCTGATATGTGGATGCTAATTCACAATGGGGGGTGGTGGCTAGGGAAGAAAAAAGGTACTTTGGATTAGACAGAGGTGAGTGAAGGGAAGGGAGGGGATTTGGGGGTGGAAAGGACAGTGGAATGAATTTGACATTATTACCCTATGTGCATTTACAATTACACGACCAGTATAATTCTACTTTTTGTATAAACAGAAGAATGAGAATTTATATTCCATTTATGTAAGATATGTCAAAATGCATTCTACTGTCACGTACGACTAATTAGAAAAAACAAACAAGCAAGAGACCTGCCTTTGGCTGGTAAGATCTTCTGAACCCCCATCTTCTACATGTATGTCTGCTTGGCTGTATTTAAAGGACTATCATATGTCACAGTGGAAAAGCAAACTCTTGGTTCCAACCTACAAAGCTTCTCTCCCAGGGTTCAACCTGGCAATAAATATCAGATTCATTATTCCAGTTGTTCAGGTGAAGAAATTGAGAAATACCCTTCATGGTGTTTCTCTCCTGTAGTCAATACATCATTATGTCCTTGGTAATGGTCAGTGTTCTGTGTCCACTTGCCTGGGTCAGGGTGCCCAGTCATTGGATGAAACACTAATCTAGATGTCTTTTGATGGAGTTGCTTCTTAATAAACTCATTGTAAGGTGATGATGGCCTAAGCTGGGCTGGAGGTGTGGCTCTGTGGTAGTGCTTGCCCTAGCATGTTTGAGCCCTGGGTCTGCTCTCCAGCACTAGAAACAAAACAACAAGACCTACAAGAACAAAACACTTAGGAAGGACAGAAAGAAAAAAGAAAATATTGTAAGTAAAAAATACATTTTGAATCTACTGAACATCTACAGAGCACCATAGAGTCTTGGTGTTGACTTGTTGCCCCAGAGCTGACTGGGAACTGTGGCTCACTGCTGCCACCCAACATCAGAGGTATCACAGTGTGGTCCGCTGCTGCTTTCTCTGACCTCATCTCTTTATCCTTCCTCACTTGCTCTTCCTTAGTCATGCCCAATAAGTTTCTGCCTCAGGGCGTTTGCTCCCGTGGCTCTCTCTCTGCCTATAAATCTCTTCATTCTAATAAGGTTATCTGAGGTACTCAGGAGCAGAACAGCACTAATTTCTTGCATCTCAAGGGAAGCAGTGGCTTTGAATGGACTATTCATTTCAGACTTGTCAAAATCCATATCTCAACCAATTGCTTTATGGTGTCGTCTATGACAGTTGTCCAGAGATCCTTCCACTAATTGGTCTCAATCATTTTTAGTTTCTGATTGTTGGTGCTCCAATATAATAGTGGTGTGCAGATAAATTAAGGGTAAAATTATAAGTCTGAGTATATGTTTAGATATGCAAGTTAGATCGTGGCTTCTTCTTTTCACTAACTGATTCTCATGTAGCTCCCAAAGTTTTAAGTGACTGCTTTTGCAAACTAACACTTGGCCTTTTATCTTGGGCCCAAGAAAACATACTAATTCATCCTATGCTTTGGTGAGGGAAGGGCATGGACACATTGTAGGAAATGGATACTTTAGATAGATGTGCACAGAGAAAATGTCCACCACAGTGGGAGTGTGATCAAGTGGCCATGTACCCCAGAGTCCCCCCGCCCCACTCCAGCCCTCCTCTCCTGGTCTTGCTGTTAGTAGTCAGCTGGCTTCAGAGGTCTCAGTATAAGATCACCGAGTCCTTCTTCACTGCGTATCCTTAGCTGAGGGAGGAGCCCACATATCAGAAAGTTGCTGTTCCTGGGCGATGGAATTAACCAGTGCTGGCTCAGGTCCTGACTGACATTTACAATAGGGGAGGGAGGTTGGACAGGTTATATGCCCCTCTTTACCCATTGCCAACTTACCAAGAGGAAATGATATTGCTTAAATTATGGTGCTGCTATGGTGTTTAAATAAAGTAATGCATACTGAGTGCCTGACTCACGGGAAGCATTCCATACCTGTGACTTATATAGCGGAACTTCAGAGGCACACTGGAGACCAGGGTCTAGGCTGAGCAGGTGTGTGCTGTGAAGTTACTCCAGTGAGATAGATAGCAAGCCTGTCCTTCACATGGTCACCCCAGTACTCCTCCCAGAATATAAGCCTGACCAGGCCACTGTCCTCTTTAACACGCCTTGAGCTGACACAAGTCTCAAAAAGCCTCCAAGTCAAGCTGTGAGGACCCTGCCTCCTCCCCACGCACGCCTCCTCATCTTTGGACGGCTCACCATGGACTTTTGCTTTAGGCATGAAAGGCCCATTGAGTGAAGAGTGATCCTTGGGCTTGGCTGTTAGGTCATCGTGCCTCCGTGTAACTGTAGGCACTCAGTTGTGTCTTTTCCTTCGAAAGATCTCATGGGAGACTTTCCGAAATTCAGCTACACTGCATCAGTTGCATTCCCCAGCTTCCCTGCCAAATCTGGAAAGAGATTAGTTTGGTGGGGTGAGTGTTCATACATACCCATAGTCTTAAATGAGTGTGGTCCTCCATCTCCTCACCTGTAACGTGCTGCATCAGGTGATTTGGGAGACAGCTGGGGGTTTGCACATTCATGGGTGCTTACCAAGGAGGAGCTGGCACACTGACACTGTGAGGTACTGCGCCCACAGCTTCAGCATTATCAGATAGCCAAGGGAGGCTTTGCAGAGAGGGGCTGGGTGGGGATCAGTTTCCAAGGGGTGGCAGAGGAGTCTGCTAGGGCCAAGTCAGTCAGGGAGGGAGCAGGACCAGTGGCCTTGATTCCTGGAATACTCTCTGCCCTCCTCCTCCGCCCTGACTGCCCCCACAAGACCCAAACTGTGCATCTCAATCCCAGAATGTGAGGAATGTGCCACAGCCTGATAGGCATGGAGCAATCTGTGGACAGGCAGGAGGAGGGCTGCTCTCTGGGCAGAGCCGGACAGTGCAAGGACTATCAGGCCTGCTGGCTGGGTGGCCCCTCCCACCCTCCTTGGCCTCCTGCTACAGACTGGATATCAAAAGCTTCATTGTGCATTGAGCAGCCTAGGTCCCTAGTGTGCCAGGGAGGAGGCGGTAGGAGGGACACCGTTGGGAGGCTCCCAAAGCTCTCTGGCTGGTGTTCCCTGGGGCCCTGGCCCGGGAGGATGGTGCACACATGGGTGGCTGTTTCTGCATCCCCAGGGAGCGGAGTCTGCCCTGGAGCTCAGGTGAGTTTCCTGGGGGACTCTGACGGGTGACTTGGCCACACTGGTTGGTACAGTGAAAACCCAGGGAGCTGCTGGGTTGGGGAAGTTGCTCTTCTAAAGGTGGGGAGATGGTTGTGGTCTCTGGTGCCTCTCTTACCTCCCTCGGTCGTATTTGTCTTTCTGCCTTTGTAAAAACGGAGTGAAGCCTGAGAAGCATCTACTTTCCTAAAGAACGAGGCTTTGAGCTCACTCTGCCGAGGGGGAGCGGGGGCTGCTCTTGGCTGCCACTCCTAGGGTGTGACTAAGCCCTTCCTTCCTTTCCTCCCAAGATTCCCTAGGACAGGAAGAAGGTTCCGGCAGTGAGTTCCTCTGCACTCTATGGGTGGTCATAAATTTGGCCTCTGTCATTCAACCTTGTTTTCCTCAAGATTGTGCTGCTGAAAAACAGGCATTTTCCTGCCTCCTACCTGTTACAGTGGTATTAGGCACATCCAGCTGAGATCAAAGAGTTGTTGTTCTAAGAAGCTGTTTGGTCATCTGAGACTTGAGACAAGGTGACCAGCCATCCTGGTTTAGCCTGGTACTGAGTGCTTTCCTTGGATGCAGTCAGTGCTAAAACCTGGAAGGTCCAGGAGAACCAAACAACACATTTGGCACAAAAGGCTATGACATATTTTGCTTCTCTAGATTTCTAGGACTTACCAACTTCCTTGAAATCCTATTGTGCTTGCACCTGTGGGGGCAGGCAGAGCACGTCCTTCTCATGGTCACCCCAGCACTCCTCCCAGAATATAAACTTGACCAGTCCAAGAAGGACTGCTGGTCTAGAAGTCAGGGCTCGTTTTCTAGATCTGACTTATTCTACCACCAGTTAGGTGGGTGTCATTGCGGTCGATCACCTCGTCTTTGAGGGCAAAGTCACTGGGTTTAATCTTTGTTTTTTTACTTGCCTTAAGAAATTAACTTCTCTGTGCTATAGTTTGCACATCTGTAGATTTTGTGAAATGATTATGCTTTCCTAGTGGTGTAAAGTTTACATGTGAAATATTGGGAACAGCCCAGCCCATGGTTAATTAAATATAATAAATATTAGACCTTGTTAATTACATTTCTCTTTTTTTTTAAAATTTTATTTTTCTTCCTCTTTGTTTTTTCTTTATTTGGTACCAGAGATTGAACTCAGGGATACTCGGCCACTGAGCCACCTCCCCAGCCCTATTTTGTATTTTATTTAGAGGGTCTCACTGAACTGCTTAGCGCTTTGCTGTTGCTGAGGCTGGCTTTGAACTCATGATCCTCCTGCCTCAGCCTCCAGAGCTGCTGGGATTACAGGTGTGCACCACAGTGCCCGGCTGTTGTTAGTTACATTCCTATGACCCTGGCATATTGCATTCTCTCTCAGGGCTTCATTTGGTCATCTGTAAAATTGGGGGGTTGTGAACTGCCTGAGGAGCTCTGCTTCTGCTGCCTGAGCCCAGCTTCAGGCACAGCCACTCTGCTTCTGCAGGACAAAGGTCTCAGGTAGAACAGAGTTCTGCAGTGCAAAACAAAGTAGCCAACATGAGAGAGGGTGGCCTTGAAAGTCCATGACACTCTCCACTTGTTTTGTTCCGTCACCTGTTTTTTGCCTTTGACAACTGGTTGGCCCCTGGATTCTCTTATTTCACCAAGTCGGCTTACTAGTTATTTCTCTCGAAGTCTTTCATGCCATACGGTTCTATACTCTTCTCCACATGTGTCAGGTTCTTCTCTAGGGGGCGGAGATAATGGGTGTTGTAGGTCTGAGGCCAGCTGATATAAAATCCCCATTCTAGCTTCCCTTCTATATGCTAGAGAAAAGAAGGCAAAGTCTGAGACACATCTTGGAGTGAATTTGTAGTGGTATGACTTTGGGCAAGTCTCTTACCTCCTTTGAACCTACCTCATGTTTTCCTGGCTGTATACTGGATCTAGTGATAGTATCTATCACATGGAACTGCTGGAGGGATTCAATTAGGCAATTCATCTTGCAGACGTGACATGGGGTCAGTTTTGGGCAATCCCAGTAACGGCAGGCTGTCTTACTGTTAGCCAACATGGACCACTCCCACATCCCTTCTTCCTAATTCCTGACTCCACTGGAGCAGGAGTCCATACTCATCGTTCCTTGGCTGCTTTTGCCATTGTGTTCATTTAAGTGGGAGTGAGCAGTGAGGTCCAAACTGTGTCCTCGGGGGTGAGGGAGGTGGGAGAGGAGCACTGGACATCTGGCTGGCTGGGCTGTGGTGTGGTGCTGTTGGATGTTGGCTATGACGGTCCTGGGCATGCTGCATTCTCTTGTGTGAGCTCTTTCCGAGGCATCTGTTCCTGTGGTGTTTATTTGTTTGCTCACAGAAATCTCCCAGTTGCACATGGTGAGAGGGTGGGTCATGGGTCAATCTCCAGCCATCACCTCCACTTCCTCCACCCTTTGAGTTTCTTACTGTTGCTTAGTAAACTAAAATTGCTCACGTCAGATCACAGGCATGTCAGAGTTCGTTGGTCTGGAAGCATCTAGTCTTTGTCTCTTATCTTCAATACCCCTTCTCCCTTATCTTCAACACCCTTTTGAAGAAATTTGGCTGAAATTCTTAAATAGAAGATGTGGGAGAGATATATGTGCCTGCATTGATCACTAGTATTTGTAACTTTCCTTTCAACCTTTCTGGTAAACATGAATCATCAGTATAACAATAATGAAATCACAAATGCTGACACTGGTAAATGGCACGTTGCCTTCGAATTCTACAAGAATTGTGAAGCATTTTGAACACTGTAATAGTTCAGAATATTAGAATAATAAGCCCCCCAACAGATTTCTACTTTTTGCCATGGTGGCCTCAGAATTTCTTTATTTCTTTCGCTTAATTTCTGAAGAAATAAAACATTACAGATACCATTAGGGTCCCCTGCAGAACTCTTTCCAATCTCATTCCTCTCTCTCACCAAAGTTAATCACTTTCATGAGTCCTGTGGTTTTTGTGCTCTTACTACATATTCATGCCCCCGGAGAGCGTTGCAAAAAATTACTTTGCAGACTTTTAAACTAAAACAAAATGATATCATTATGCAACTTGCTTTCTTCCCCCACCAACATAATCATCTGAGATGTATCCATATGGCTAGATGTAGCTGTAGTTCTAATTTGATATTTGTTCTAGCAGGGAGAATGTAGGTTTACATCATAAAAACTGCTGATGGTAGGCCTGTTGGGTCAAAGAAGAAGAAAACATGTGGGTAGAGGAACAAAGCATGACGGGAAATGTCGGCTGTTTCGTTTTCTTTTTAAGTTGGGCGTGATGGTGGTGGGTAGGAGCAGAGAAGAGACAGAGGAGAAAGTGGAGTGAATTCTCATTTTCAACATGTTCCTGTCCTTGAGGTGTCTGCCTGATCCGAGATCTTAGGCCTCAGAGTTCTGAGGCTGTATAATGTGTGAAAATAGCAGCGTCTGTACCAAGTGATTTGGATGACCTCTGACTCTTTTGATAACTTGCTGAATGACCTTGGTCAGAGCACCACTCCTCTCTGGGGCCTCAGTTTCTGGACAGTCAAATTAAGAGTGAAACTACAGGATTTATTTCATTTTCTTCCCACTTTCATTTTCTGTGTGTATTGCCTTCTCATTACCTTTACCTCTCACATTCCAGAGGTCATGATGCCTTCTCTCTCTCTCTCTCTCTCTCTCTCTCTTAACTTTAAAACAGTGCCGGGTGTTGTGTTATATGCCCATAATCCCAGTGGCTGGAGGCTAAGGCAGGAGGATTTTAAGTTCCAGGCTAGCCTCAGCAACTTAGACCCTGTCTCAAAATAACACACAAAAAGGGCTGGGAAACTGTGGATAAGTGGTAAAGCCCCCTTGGGTTCAATCCCAGGTAACAACAACAACAACAACGACAACAACAACAAAAATGAAAGAAAACAAAAACAAACAAACAAAACAAACAACAAAAACAGTATCATTTACTCTATCCCCTCACTTCTCATTGCCAAGGTGACAGCTCACATGCTCACACACCCCTGGGTTTCCCTAGCAGCATTTTAGTGGGCCTCTCTGCTCCTGATGCTTGCCTCTCCCTGCTCTTCCTAACCCACCCCAAGTGGAGCGCTCACTTTTATTATGCCACTCTCATGCTCAAGGATGTTTCATAGCCCCCAGTTGCATACTGTATCTGTTCTAAACAAGTCTCCTGCCATAAAGTGACCCCATCCTGACCTGCCATACTTACCCAAGACCCTTGGTTACCAGTTACCTCCCCCATGTACAGGCTCAGCCGCTACCATCTCATGTGCCTATGAAGCCCGCTCAGGCCTGCCCTGCTGATCTCTTTACTGGTGATCTTTCTTTGTCTCCTCATATATAGATCTTCCAAGAAAATAAAAGCCAAGCAATAAATTTGGGAATAATATTTACAAAACATGTATCTGATACTTATGTCCAGAACATATGTTTAAAAAAACCTCTTAAATCTCAAAAGTGAGAAGACAACCTAGAAAAATGCAAAATGTTTCTACATACACTTTTATGTGGAAAATATAGTGATGACAATTAAGCCCACTTAAAAATACTTACTATAATTAGTTATTAGGGAAATGCAAATTGAAAAAAAAAACAAAATAAAATTACAGAATTATTGGAATGGTTAAAATTAGAAAGACTGACAATATCAAGTTTTGACGAGGTATGGAGCAACTGGAAATCTTGTACATTGCTGATAGGAATACAAAATAGTATAGTCACTTAGAAAACCAGGTTGGGCAGTTATAAAACAGGTCCCACTTTTTTTTTTTGGATCAAATTTTTTAAAAATATAATTTGTTATATATGACAGCAGAATGCATTTCAATTCATATTATACGTATATAGCACAATTTTTTCGTATCTCTGGTTCTTCACAATGTAGAGTCACACCATTCGTATCTTCATACATGTACTTAGAGTAATGATGTCCATCTCATTCCACTGCCTTTCCCACTGGTTTTGTTTATAATTGAGTATTAACAACTTTTTCTGATCAATGTTAATATAAATGAACCAACTTACATGAAAAATAATTTGTTGATTCATAAATGAAAAAGTACAGTGATATTACTTTCCTTCAAGTATGGTTTGATCAAGATATTCAAGTGATGTTAATCAGGAAACTCTTTCCTAAGCTCTGTTTGAGTCTGGATAGCCTCAACCTCAGCAGGCTTTCTCCCCATAGCAGGGGTCCCACCATTTTAGGTGGTCATAGTCATAGTTTTCAGGTGCCATGAAAAGAAATTTCATGTCTAAGAGTGTTGCAGGTTCTAGGACTAATTCTCATGGCTTAACTTTGGTCACAAGGACACGGCACAGTATAACTTGATTGGCTTAGGCTTGAATCACGTGCATACTTTTGGAGGTAGGAATGTAGTCAGAGCCACAGGAGCTTTATGAAGGGTTCACATGGATCACCTGGCTAATGATGAAGCCAGGTGATCCGTGGTTTGAGTCCAGGGCTGTCCGATTGCCCCTTGTTCCTGGACATTTCTCTTCCTGCCTTCAGTGTTAGAAAACAAATGCATGTCCACTACAGAGTATTTGGTAAGCAGACAAAAGTTGAGTGAAGATAATAAAAATAAATAAATAATAAAATGATTCAGTAATAACCTCCATAAGCCTTTTGGTTTATTTTCTTTCTTTTTCAAAGCCAAGCGCAAGTCCTAAAATTCCTTCACATTGAAATACAACTCCACGTGTAAAGAGCTCTGTAAACTGTAAATCCCTGTGCAACAATTACTCATTCTGCTTTAGAACTCACTCTAGTCGTTCGGTGACCTTATTGTTTGTCAAGGAGTTGTCCTTTTGCTTCACTGATCCCGAGACCCATGGGTCCCAGTTGCCTTGAAGATTCTCACACTTTAGGGAATTTCTGAAATAGCCAAGGTGCTAATAAAATTCCACATGTCTGGACTCCTCTCCTAGATATTTCCAGGTAGAGTAGGTGGAGGAGAGTTCAAAGGATATCTTTAAATTCAGCTTTTTACTACCCTTTATCATGTATATAGAATTGTGTATGAAATCATGTGTATAGCACATGAATTTTAATAAGGTATATAAACTCATCTATATTGTTTTGTATGGTTGCAATTAATTCAATCTCATTTAAGTATTAGATTTAATTATATGTAGCATCATTTACTTATTCATTCTAGTGTACATGGATATTTGAGTTGTTGCCAGGGTTTGGCCCTTGTGAATAGTGCTGTTCTGAATATTTTAGTAGATGCTTTTGGTGAACATATGTATGTATTCTTTTGGGTATACAGGTAGGAGTAAAATTGCTGAGTCTTACTGTATTCAAATTTTCAACTCCAATTTCAAACTCCAATTCAGTTTGCTAAAGAGAAAAATTTCAGAGTTTATCCTCATAGTTGTAGTACCCAGGAGTCCTGATGGCTCTGTATTCTTACCAATGCTTGCCTTTATCCAGCCTTTTTATTCTAGCTGGTCTGCATAGTGGTTTTCCATTGCAATTTTGATTTATACTTTCCTAATGGAATTGAGCACATTTTCATACATTTTATCCACTGCTTGGCTATCATTTTTGATGAAATGCCCATTTATGTCTCTTGTTCATTTTTTTGTAGCAGGTTGCCTACCATTTCTTAAAGACTTTTAGCATTCTTTTTGTAGCATTTTTTAGCATTCATTTTTTTTGTACTCTAGATTTGAATTCTTTAATGACAAAACATATTGTTAATATTTTCTTTTACTCTGCTACTTGCTTATCACTCTCTTAATAGCATGTTTTGATTAATAGAATTTCTTAAGTTTAGTGTATTACAGTTTATCTATTATTTCTTTTGAGGGTAACACATTTACCATACTGCTTAGGAGGACTACCATCTTCAAGTCCTACAGATAGCCAAATATATTTTCTCTGTGTTTATTTTATACAGGCATCTTTTGAAAAACAAGTACCTAAATCATTCTGATGCATATAATCCAGTTTTGCAAAACTTCAATTTTATGCACCAAACCTCACACATCTTTTAGAAGTTGTGCTCCCTCTGCCTACACCAGTGTTACCACCATGGATTTCCCCTTTTGAAGTTGAACTCACTTTGCAGGCCCTTGGCATCAGGCCATTGTCTCCTCCCCTGGAATTCTACAAGAAGGCAATATCATGCCTGCTGGGGAGTCAATGAGTAATTGGATAGTGAGGTCCTGGTGGCTGGAGAACAAATGTCCTGTGGAGGAACATCAATAATTTGGTGCTTGCTGATTGCCACAGGAGGAAGAAGGCCCTAGGCTACAGATCTATGTTTCCATGCAAACCCAAGCATGTGGATTGTGTACAATATTCTGATTTATAAATGTTAAGCAATCCAAACTAAAAAAAATAATGTGGGGAAGGCAGGGGAGACAAAGGGGAATGAAGGGAAGTGGGGGGAATGGGAAAAGGAAAGACAGTGGGATGAATCTGACATAACTTTCCTGTGCACATATATGGACATACTACAGTGAATCTCACCATCGTGTACATGCACAAGAAATTAATTTAGAAAAAAAAAACATGGATAAATGGTAGAAAGATCAGTAGAGGGAAGGGAATAGGGGATGTGGGAGGGAAGGGGAAGGAGAGGTACTGGAGGCTGAATTAGAACAAGATATATTCCATGCTTTTATAATTCTGTCAAAATGGATTCTACTGTCATGTATAACTGAAAAGAACCAATAAATAAATCTTAAAAAGTTGACATAGAAAGCAGCAAAAGCAAAGTCAGTAATTTAAAACTAAGACTCTGAAATTTTTGGCCAAATGTTAATTAAAAAAACAAAAAACAAACAAACAAAAAGACATTTGTGGGTTTGCTCTAGACTGTGGTCAGACTTTGCCCTAGGGTAGGCACATAGTGAGCCACTTCAGGTGTCATTCTGGGATCAGTGGCAGAAACATCATCTGGGAACACTTTGCAATGCAGAACCTCTGCTTTCAATTCCTGAAGCAGAATCTGCATTCATCAGTATCCCAGGTGAAGCACCAATCCTGTCTTGTGGTTTCCCACCTTGGTTCAAATTAAAACCATTTTGGGGAAAGAACAAACAAACAAAAAGCAACTATAGCCAAACTACAGACCACAGTAATCAGAGTCTCTGAATATGAGGCCTAGGCTTTGGTATTTTTAGAAAGCAACCTAGGTGATTCAGATAGGCAATCACTGTTTAGAAGCACTAATTTAGGCAGGTCTTTATTTACAAATGGGGAAATTGAAAATCTCAAAAAGTAGACAGGTGAAATATCTTCCCCATGGTCATTTAGCTGGTGCAGGAGAAGATCTGATTTGTGCTCATTCTCGTTCCTGAGTCAGTGTTTTCTTGCTTCAGTAGCTTCTGGCTCCTGGGGGGCAGAACTACAAAGTGATCCTGTTCAACTGTAGCTCATTACTGCCGACTTCCAGCTAAGCTGCTTAGCTGTCAGCATTGACAGCTAATAAGATCTACCAGATGAAGTGCTGTGAGCTGATGGGCTCCTCCTTCTGCCTATTCAAGCTGCAATCCATTTTATTCTCTCTGTACATCACCCCAAACTGCAAACTCCTCCCACTCTGAGGAAAGGAAGGACCTCTGCTTGGTTATCAAAATCCCCCTTCACAGGCATAGAATGGAGATGAAGTCTCTTGGCAGCATTAGCTGGCAGTGAGTGTGACTGCTCCATCCCTCTTATACTCTTGGGTTGTGTCATTAGCAGCACAGGTCCAGAATGCAAGACCTTTTGGGCCTGCTTGTCTCTGACCCCAAATTTTACAGGAACTTGGAGGATAAAATGACTGACGCACACACAGTTGTTGAGTCAATATTTCTAATCCTTACTTCCAGGACCAGATTATGCTCATAGTATTCTGACCCTATGGTATAGTCCTCTAGCAGGTTCCTGGTCAAAAGGACTGAAGAGTCCAGTGTCCAAATTTAATGCCTTAAAGACTTGAGTTCCCTTATTATATTTTTGGGATACCATGAAGGAGATATTTTGCATTCTCTAGTGAAACTCCCTTCTGTTCTTTAATATCTTCTTCCTCCTACTTTACAACTGTACTCTTCCCTTTTTGACTTCCTGCTATCAGAATAGCACCTTTCACCTGCCCCAGCCTGGTCTTCTTTCTTCTCCTTCTCATTCTGCCTCTACAGCTTCAAAGATAGGAACTTTTCTCAGAGCTGGAGGAGAGAAGTCCAAGATAGGACCCTATTTAGTGATCAGAGGAAAGTATCATCTGGTGATAATGACACATTTCAGGGACACTATGACCATGCCCAGGTGATCTGTCTAATGGTGCCATTCTTTCTCTCTCTCCTCAAACCTTCCCATTAACTACCCATTGATCTTGCTATAGTCAGATCCATAATAATCTGTGTAAACTCTACGCATATTGAGCACCTTTGGTGTATTAAACCCTAGAATTTTGTTTGATACATGGATGTGAATCTGCTTCACTAACAACATGGGGGACACCCAGCTGCTGCAGGATTGAGATAGCATGCATGACAGTTCTCTGATAACCACTGGCTTGGTGGCAACGGTGATAGCAATGAGAATTCTCCCATGCCACCAGTGTTGGGGGAAAATAAAATTGGTACTTGACCAAAACTTTCAGTCCATGCTTACAACTTGCTTATAACTTGCCTACCTTCTACCAACAATTTTTCATTTTATCTTCTCCAGGTAAAGAAAGTCCTTCCAAGGATCCAATCATATCAAGTGAGGGTTTATCCTCATCCGAACATAAGGAAAACTGTTTCCTGCCACAGAACGTGACACCAGGTATCTAAATCCCAAAGATAAAGTGCTATTTTCAAAAATACCTTTCATATAGAACATTTCAGTTACCTTCGGCAGACTGCCCCCTCCCACCCTTTCCAGGTGTGTCGCCAAACACATCCTTGTAAACAAGACCTTCTGATATTCATACCTTCATTATTCTCCATTGCTCGAACTTAACCTTTCCCAGGCTGGTACTCAAAGCTCTTCACAATCTGGCACAGGTTAGGAACTCCATACATATTTTCTGGGTTAGAGAAAGTATATGCTCAATCAGATTTTCAGTTACTTGGGGGAGCCAAGTGAATTTTAAAAAAAAATTATGCAATCAACATGATATCTCAAAGAGTTGTTTGCACATAGTTGGGGCTCAGAAAATGTTTGATAAATACACCCAATCATTAGGTGAACATATGGAGGGCACATTTATATTCTATAATACCTAACACAGGACCCTAGATGTAGAAGTTTCTGATAAATATTTGTTAAATAAATGAATAAATGAGTGAAGGATACAGAATATGTAGGATGAGACTGGCTGAGCAAAAGGCCATCTGTATGAATCTTTGAGAAGCAGAAAAATATTTGGAAATCAGCATGAGGAAGATTTTATTCTCCACATGTGCCTTGAATAGGCCCTCTTTAAGAGTCTTCAGTGAAGTCCACAAAGCCAAGGTTGCCATGAGAGAAAACTATACTCGTGCTGAACCCTGTGTCAGAAATGCTGAGGACAATCCTTTAGAAGACATGATTACTGTTTTATAGTGGCAGGGACCATTTTCGAAGGCAAATCTCAAGTCAGGCAATCCCTTATATGTTTCTCTCATCATCACGTGCTCACCAGTAAGTGAAGGCCCCCAAATCTCTACTTAACAGGTGGAAAACAGACTCTTAGAGAGGAAAATAACTTCATTGCCATAGAGTTAATATGTGATGAGGAAGGGGATTCGAACCCCTGTCCTCCTTTGTAACCCCCATGTACCACTAAAGATAGGCTTTAATATAGTTACTAATTACCCTGTGAAAATATTCTTTTCCCTGGGATACAAAATACAAATTTGTGGGAAAGTTACATTTTTGAGCCATGGAAATGGATATTGTATAATTATCATACCATATTTTTTCTATTCTGTTTCAAAAGCTGTCAAACTGCTTGGTTGATAATGAGACAAATCTTGCCTTTTGTTTTTTGCTAGTGTGTCAATCTGCTTATCATCTGTCAGCTTGGGCCATCCTGGGGGGGCAGGAGAGGACCTGAATTACCATCTGTTGTTTTGTGAATGCAGTAGAGTCAGCATTTTGCCTTATTAGTGCATTAAATCAATGAATGGAGGGTATCTTTAGGTAAACCAAACAAACTTCAGGCTGAACTTGTCTGGCTTTCAGTGTTTTTCATCATGATGCTGTTTCCACGAAGGTCATGGAATATGGAGGGAAGACCTGGCACTAGCTGTCAACCTTTCCTTTATGCGAAGCAATCGCAGACAGAGCCAATCAGACACATTATCATGATTACAGCACTGGCTTCCAGAAGGACAATATGGCACAATACACTTACACTACTACTGGAGTGAACTTGGTTTACTGCCCCCTCTGGTGATGCACAGGGTATTATGGGTCCCCACCCACACAAGTATTCTGCTGTGAGTATCAGTTCCCAGTGCTTGAGAGGGCAAAAGCAATTTGCTTATTTGAATCCAGGTCTTTTACATTTTATATATGTGGCTTCACAGGCATGGCAAGGAGATTCACACTAAAGGGGCCAACAGTCAGTGGGGACTAGTCCTGGAAAGATTCTAAGGAGTTTGAATCAGGTTTTGGAAAACAGGAGAGATGGAGTTTGGTAGGAAGGAATCACAGAATGAGTTATTGTTGAATGAAGGCAGCCATGAGCAGTAATTGCTGGAATACTGGGGAGGGGAGCAGGAGCAACAGCTAATGCTTAATGTGTTTAATTGAACCTTTAATAAATACCAGGCACTGAGTAGGAAGGCTTATATGCATATCTCATTTAATAAACCTTAAAAAAATCCCTGTAGGAAAGGTTCCATCAAAGCTATTTTTCTAAGGGGAAAAGTTCAAGATGGCAGAGTCAAACCTTGAGCCCAAGTTACTCCTCCCTGGGTTTCATCTTTGTGCTTTGCCTTTTGCTTGAGGTCAGCATGAACTGAGGTTTCTGGGTGGAGCCTTGGCAGGTAGCCAGAGATAGAAGGGTTGGGTGAGAATGGAAAAGACTGGATGGAGTATAGACAAGTGTGCACTCTCATCTACATGGAGGTCCTATCAAAGCCAGGTTGAGTGTGTTTCATGAGAACTGATCTGTAGCCATAGCAGCGTCAGGGTTTTGGGGTTAAAACAGGACTTTTAAAGGTGAGGGGAGTTCAATCTGTCCTGTGGACCCAGGCCAGCATGATAGGGGCCATCTCTAATGTGCCGGAAATTTGGAAAGGCCCTGGCAAGTTGGGGCTAAAAGAGAGACTTCCACCATTATCCAGTCCCAATGTATTCTGTTTATTGTGTTGCGTAATTGTTAATAAGATTGCTACTTATTGTCTAAATGAGGCACATTTGAAAGGACAATTAATGTGTGACATGATCCCCCTCAGTGAGGCCTTTGCTGACAATCCTATCCAAAGGCATATCTCTCCTCCAACTGTTGTATCACTGTTTCTTGACTCTATTAAATTTCTTTCACGTAACTTTTCTCCACCTGAAATGAATGTGTTTGTGGAATCAATTACCTCCCAAGTAGAATTCATATTCCCTGAGAACAGGGAACATGTCTACTTTCTTTTCTGCTATATCCTGAGCACCTAAGACAGTTTCTGGCTCCTAGGAGGGAGGTATTTGTTAAATGAATGTGCATTCTGAAAGAAATTGAGGATAGACCTTAGTATGTTATCCTGACATCAATAAATTCAGCATCAGAAAGAAACAGGTAAGGGCTGTGTGTTGCTCAGTGGTTAGAGCCCATGAGGTTCTGAGTTCTAGTCCCAACACCACCAATACCACCAACACCACCAACACCACCAAAACAAACAACTGGTCAGAGAAATACATATATGTATGTATCATATGTAAAGTACATGTCTATTACTATAACTGACATATAAATACATTTCCTTAAATATGGATAGAATAGAATTCATTCAAAACTTTCACAAATCACCCGCAGGAAGCAATATATGTCCTAGCTGGCTCATGTCATCACCAAAAGAGAAATGACCAATGTGAGTGCATCAGCTGGACACTCCAGAACCCTGCTGGTGTAAAACAGTGTTTGGAGGATCTTTAAGACCACTCTAATCTGAAATTAAGGAGGACACCCATTTAGGATTTGGGTTTTCTGATTATTTCTTCTTTTATTGCATGTCCAGCCTGATCCGTCTCCCTCTGTTCTTCAGATCTGACACTCTCCTTCTGCGTGAGGAGCCGCTCCAGGAAGTGTGTAAACGGACCCTTGCAGGAATCTGCCCGGAGGCGGCTCTGGGCACTGGAGAATGAGGACCAGGATGTGTGCGCCTTGTTTAAGGTGAGCTTGTTTAAGGGATCCTTAGCACCCAGAATAGAGCCTGGAACAAAGTAGGCCCTCAAGAAAATATCTGCCAAAGTGAATGAACGATCAGGTCCACATTCTCTGAGTGAATATGTACAATTCTCTGCTTAATGGGAATGAGTAGAAATTCTGAATAGGGCAACTAGAAGTTGCTGAGTTAGAGAAAATTAGGTTTCAAATCTGCTACTATTTGTTGTATGAGCCTCAGCAAGTTACTCTGTGGAATGGAAATCATAACACCTACCTCATAAGTATATATACATTTTTCTAATGTGGTAAATTTGAATTTTATTTTTGTTACTGTGATATAAAATATTCCATTGCTCTCATTTTAATTCACTTATAACATTTGATATACTCACAACCTGTTCATCTCCAGAAGTGTGTTATCCCAAACTGAAATTGTTATATCATTAAACCCTAACTCTCCACTGTCACCTTCTCCCCAGGCCCTGGTAACTACTGAGTACATATGTTTAAAGTAACAAAATTGCCAATCAAAACCCAATAACTATAAGTATTAAGAGGGGAGGAGGAAAATGCCATAAAGTAAATAAACAACTTCATTTTTTATAATGGGTAGAAAATATCTTCAGATGTTAAACCAAGGGGGAAAGGTATGACTAAATTAGCTACAGTTTGATGGGTACTAATTAGGAGAACTAAACTTTGAAATGGATAAAATTTGTTGCAACTAGTGGTGAGGGAAGGACAACATTGCTTTACACAATAAACTAATATGTTTCATTCATTCATTTATTTTTGGTACTGGGACCAAAGCCAGGGGTGCTTTACCACTGAGCTATATCCCTAAACCCTTATAATTTTTAACTTTGAGACAGGGTCTCACCTGTTTATTTTTAGAGTCTGCATTAATTTGGTACAAAATGAAAGGATAAAAGTGCTCTGACCTGCAGCGAGATAGTTTCTGGTCTTTCAGGAGGAGAACATGAGATAGTAACTGTAGAGAGGTTGGTACTGTGATTGTGTGGAAGTATATACATAAAAAGAGTATATACTTTAAAGTATATGCTTTATATACCACAAAAAGTAGTTAAAATTTTATTTTATTATTTTATTTTATTTTTAAAATTTTTTTGGGGGGGTCTTATTTTTTATTTTTTTATTTTTAATTTTTATTGGTTGTTCAAAACATTACAAAGCTCTTGACATATCATATTTCATATATTAGATTCAAGTGGGTTATGAACTCCCATTTTTACCACAAATACAGATTGCAGAATCACATCAGTTACACATCCACATTTTTACATAATGCCATATTAGTAACTGTTGTATTCTGCTACCTTTCCTATCCTCTACTATCCCCCCTCCCCTCCCCTCCCATCTTCTCTCTCTACCCCATCTACTGTAATTCATTTCTCTCCTTGTTTTTTTTTCCCATTCCCCTCACAACCTCTTATATGTAATTTTGTATAACAATGAGGGTCTCCTTCCATTTCCATGCAATTTCCCTTTTCTCTCCCTTTCCCTCCCACCTCGTGTCTCTGTTTAATCTTTTCCTCCTGCTCTTCCTCCCTGCTCTGTTCTTAGTTGCTCTCATTATATCAAAGACATTTGGCATTTGTTTTTTAGGGATTGGCTAGCTTCACTTAGCATAATCTGCTCTAGTGCCATCCATTTCCCTGCAAATTCCATGATTTTGTCATTTTTTTGTGCTGTGTAGTACTCCATTGTGTATAAATGCCACGTTTTTTTTATCCATTCGTCTATTGAAGGGCATCCGGGTTGGTTCCACAGTCTAGCTATTGTGAATTGTGCTGCTATGAACATCGATGTGGCAGTATCCCTGTAGTACGCTCTTTTAAGGTCTTCAGGGAATAGTCCGAGAAGGGCAATAGCTGGGTCAAATGGTGGTTCCATTCCCAGCTTTCCCAGGAATCTCCATACTGCTTTCCAAATTGGCCGCACCAATTTGCAGTCCCACCAGCAATGTACAAGAGTACCCTTTCCCCACATCCTCGCCAGCACTTGTTGTTGACTTCATAATGGCTGCCAATCTCACTGGAGTGAGATGATATCTTAGGGTGGTTTTGATTTGCATTTCTCTGACTGCTAGAGATGGTGAGCATTTTTTCATGTACTTGTTGATTGATTGTATGTCCTCCTCTGAGAAGTGTCTGTTCAGGTCCTTGGCCCATTTGTTGATTGGGTTATTTGTTATCTTATTGTCTAATTTTTTGAGTTCTTTGTATACTCTGGATATTAGGGCTCTATCTGAAGTATGAGGAGTAAAGATTTGTTCCCAGGGTGTAGTCTCCCTATTTACCTCTCTTATTGTTTCTTTTGCTGAGAAAAAAACTTTTTAGTTTGAGTAAGTCCCATTTGTTGATTCTTGTTATTAACTCTTGTGCTATGGGTGTCCTATTAAGGAATTTGGAGCCTGACCCCACAATATGTAGATCGGGAATTCAGGAACTTGGAGACACTGGCTGCTGATTGATCCGTTCAATTTCCTTTTAACTTGAGTCCCATTGATTGGGCAGAAGCAGGGTTTCCTTTAGAGAGCTGGCCTGCTGAGCCAAGGCTTGAGCTGGAAAAGGTTGGGGGCCAAAGCTGAGCCTTGAGCCAACTGGATCTGAGATCCAATCAGAGCTCTGCAGCTTACCCACTGCAGGTGACCTTGGGCAGGTGATTTTACCTCTCTGAACCCCGGTCTCCTTGTACTTAAAATATAGGATAATGCCATTTTTAATTAGATCCAATATATCATGGATTATCACATGCATTATTCTTTTCTGTGCCTTTAAGAGAATAATAAAATAAAATATAAAATGGTTAAATATTATAAAAGCATATCTTAGAATGGTTTAAATGCAACTGCACCCTCTTTGTAGGGTTATTGTGGGAATTAAATGAGGTATTACTCATAAAGCTATTGCTGAAGTAGCTGGTATCTAGTAAATTTTCCGCAAATCAATTTTTTTACTTTTAACCCCTTCCTCGATTATAGAATCAATATCCTCCAAGGATCTGGGGCCTCCTGGGAATTGGCATGGATGAAACACAGAGCCTAACTTTGCTGAGCTAGGGGCTCTTCTTTTGAATCCTTCTATTTCTTCCTTTTTCCAGTCAGGTTCCCTGAGGATGGGGGTCAAGGAGTTGGTTTTGATGGCAGGACTTGGCTTGGAAAAGAGATGTTTTGAGACCATTACTAGTTATAGTCAACTATAGAGGTTTGGGAAAACAACAGAGAACAATTTACGGAAAATTCTTCATACCAAAAAAAAAAAAGTATGAACAGTGATTCAGGCCTTTTTCTGATATTAAAAAACAAGAGGCTCATAGACCTCCTTTAAAAAAATATTCTTTTTATTTGTTCTAATTAGTTATAGGCAATAGAATGCATTTTGACACATCATACATAGAGTATAACTTTTCGTTCTTCTGGTTGTTCATGATGTGGAGTTATACAGATCATGTAATCATATATACACATAGGGTCATAATGTCTGATTTATTCTACTATAATTCCTACCCCCATTCCCCCTCCCCTCCCTTCACTCCCCTCTGTCTAGTCCAAAATACCTCTATCCCCCCACCTTGTGAATTAACATCCGCATATCAGAGAAAACATTCTGCCTTTGGTTCTTTGGGATTGGCTTATTTTGCTTCACATAATATTCTACAGTTTCACAGGCCTCCTCTTGCTCTGCTTGTGAGCATGATTTAAACTGAAACAGTCTTTCTAGAGGGCAGCTGAGCGCCTGCATTTTGGAATAGAAACTGTGCATATCCTTGCATTCCAATTGCATTCTGAAATTATTTGTTTCAGAAAAATCAAGGATGTGCACAAATATTTAGCTATAAGGATGTTCATCCCAGGATCATTTCTGATATTGAAAAAATGAACTATGATCCAAATGTGAAAACGTAAGGAATTGCAGGAGGATCGGGAGTTCAAAGCTAGCCTCAGCAAAAGCAAGGTGCTAAGCAACTCAGTGAGACCCTGTCTCTAAATAAAATACAAAATAGGGGCTGGGGATGTGACTCAGTGATCAAGTGCCCCTGAGTTCAATTCCCAGTAGAAAAAAAAAATACCAAAACAGACAAACAAAAAAACTCTATAAGGAAATGATAAGAATTAATTGCATTAATACAACATTGGCATATGTAACCGTTAAACATTATGCAGACTACTTAATAATATGAAGGATGTTTCACAACATATCATTTAGCAAAAGAAAAAGATTGCAAAAACAATTTAAGTACTAAGATTCTCTTTATATAAAATATTTATATGGCAACTCATGTGTAGGAAAAATGATTCATTAGTACAAGAAAGTGTTAACATTTATGATATTTAGGAGAAGAGATTATGAATAATTTTTACTTTTGGGTGCTTTGGTTTTTCTGTTTGTCAGCTTTATAAAAATAATCATTTGACATAGGTATGCAATCATTTGCTTCCAAGCTTCCTTCTATGATTCACCCTCTTCTCCCACATAAACTTTTTTCCCCCTTACACAAAAGGTGGTATTCTCTGCACATGGTTCTATACCCAGGTCTCTTTGTTGCAGCTGTTGTTGCATTTATATTTAGAGCCTATATCAGTACACAAAGAACTTCTTCATTCTTTTCTAAGACTGCACAATGTCATGATATTCCACTCGGATGAATCATATTCCATTTCAACCAGACTTCTTTTGATTAATATTTAGCTGTTTCTGTTAGGTGTGTGTGTGTGTGTGTGTGTGTGTGTGTGTTGTAAACTTCCACACCACAGTCAGGAACTTCATCCAGTCTTGGTTCCACAAGTTAGCTTGTCAACAGAGCACCTCCATCACACCAGGATAATTCATTATTCTCTTTATTCAGGAACTTTCAGCAAGGTTGGTGAGTATCCAGTCCCAGAAGGCCCAGTTCATCCTCACCTTCAAGACCATGGAAGAAATCTGGAAATTCTCCACCTACCTGAATTTAGGTATGACATGACAGGCAGGTGGAGGAGGAGCACTGTATAGTTCAGACAGTCTTTAGGGCTTGATATTAAGGAATGGGTTTATCTCTGATAATTAAAAAGGTTAGAGCTCCAAAGAGAATGATTAACTTTTCAAATAGCACAAACTGCCTGAAACCAAATCTAAAGCAAATACTATTACTCTAAAATGTCAGATGAAGAAATTCACTTCCTTATATCCAGGGAGAGATTTCTTTATTAGATATCAATCAATTGATAAGTAATTTGGACATCTGTCAAACTGAAAGTACTGAGATAGATGTGAAGTTTTTTTTTTTTTAATGGAAAACTGCTCTTGAGTAAGTCCAAATAGGTGCTCAAAATATTAAAATTCTAGATGCTTACCCTATGTATTTGGAAAAGATCAAAGAGATGAGGGAATTACCTACTAAAGTGGCCTCAGCAGCAGAAGATTCTAAAAGGTAAGGGAAGATATTAGGGCACGGTGGCAGAACCACTGCAGTGGGCAATGGTTCATCTATCTTCTCCAGGGAGAAAATCCCAGTTGGTTTCAGAGCCAAGCCAAACCTTACAAAAAGTCCTCTGATTTGATGAACATTGGATGTATCCCAGAAAATGCTGGGTTCCCACGGACATACACAGGGAGAAAAATGGTACGGGGCTGGAGGGTCACAATGACCCATGGCTAGAGGTGCAACTTTTCTTACAGTTGTGGTGATTTTCTGTTCTCTCCAAACTGTGTCCAAACTGTGCTCTATGGGCCAGCTGCATCTCTCTCTCGAATATGACCTGTAGAAAATTAGAATCTCAGGCTCCACCATAGACTTACTGAGTCAGGGTCTGTGCTTTAATAAGATCCCCAGGTGTTCACTTTCAAGTTCAATAAGCATGATTATCAAGTACACAGGCCTACATCAGTATGATGGGCAGCCAGGATGGAAATAGCTTTTTGTAAGAGAGGAAGAAAAAAAAAAACAAGCAAAATGTTAATACAAATAATTCATGTTTGGGGACATGTCAAAGAACTGTATATCATTTTTTTTTTCAATTTTTACATAGCTTTTAGTCTGCTTTTAACAAAGCAGAGCTTGCTGAGCATTGGATAAGGGGCAGGGTCAGAACAGGGAGGATGAAGTCGATCCTGACTCTTGTGAACCATGGAGAAACTTCTCGGCCTCTACATCATCTGGCCACAGGAATTTGAACCTTAGGTCAGGAGAATGTGAAGGGGAGACCAGGAACCCCCAGAGTCAACCTGGTAAACTTGGAGACCTCTGTGGTTGTATTAGAGAAAGGTAAATGGGTTTGGTCATCTCAGTGCATTTACAGAGACCCACAGTATGCTGAAATAGTAAATATCACTTTAAACATGACTCATATTTCCCAACAGATGCTGAATCTGTTCTAGAATTCATTCTGGAAAGTCTCTAATTGGCCTATTTTGCTGTTCTATTCTACTTCCACTTAAGTGGTGGGTTGGGGATGGGGCCTTGGGTGATGCTCAGGATGGAGCTCACTCACTTTCTTTTGCAGCTAAGCACAGAACTCATCCAGTTCAGGAACCTTGTTGGCTTGACTTCCAGGCTATGTGTCCACTTGTTTGGAACACCTTCTCTTTGACCACAAGTACTGGCTCAACTGCAGGTTGGTGGAGGACACAGAGATTCAAGTGTCTATAGATGATGAACACCTGGAAACCATGTACCTGAGTCTCCTGGTACAAGAAGGTAAGGCCGGCATAGGTGGGGGATGGGCCCCCTTTCATATTTTTAATGGGAATCGCTGAAATAATTAGGATACCAAGGGAGACAAAAATCATTCAAACATGGGAATATTCACAAATGAACCTACTGTTATAACTGTACATCTAACATTCCTTTAAGTTCAACACTGACATTACATCAACAGCCTTGTTGGTCAATCTCACTGATTGATATTAGAGCTGCCTGGGGAGTTTTAAAAAGATGCCCATACCATGGCTCCACCTTGGCCAATTTTAAATTCCTGGAGATGGGGCCCCAGTCATTGGCAAATTTTTTCTTTTTAATTTCTCATGTAATTCTAATGGCATCTAAGATTGAGAAACACTTATCTAAACATGTGATAAAATTTGATTGCAAAATCAAATTGCAAATCTTGAAAAACCTGAAGTATTTAGTGAAATTAAGCAAAGTGATGTTGAAGAACTCCTGAAGCAACCCATGATCTGTTTACAAATTAGGACACCATCAGATTGGCAGATGGCCAAGTCAGATGACTTCGTAAACACATTGAAAGAGCCAGATTTGCATACAATATTATTATATAAATGATTCTCTTATGATTGCATTGCACAATTCGTGCATGAAGGAAAGAATTGCATCTTGCATTATTATAAAACTCAGGGTAATTAATTCACCTAAATCAACTTATTCTTTGTTGGGTCTAAGCTTTAGTGTGAAGTTGCAATTATAATTCAAATTCTGTTACGTGAAAATGTATTTTTGTTAGTTTTGTTTTATCTCTTTTTAAAGTAAGGTCCCAATTAAGCCTTCCTTATTCTTACAGATTTCTCAGAAATGTTGGTGTCTATTTTAAGTGAATTTCCTCTCAGTGGCTTTTTTTTTTTCCTTGCCACTTTTCCTGGGATCACAAAGGACCTCTTATCATGTTCCCACCTCCCCCTTTCCCTGCCCATAGTCCATTTTACTCTCAGAAAGCAAAGCATTTGGGTTCTCGATGGAAATTTTACCTTGAATGATAATCTTCTGTTACATCTTGCAACTCACTGGAAAGGGCTTTTTTAATTTTTTTTTCATTATTACAGGCCACTTCTTCTGCAGAGCCCTGTGCTCCTTGACTCAGCCAGCTGAGAAGGAGGGCGAGTGTTTGACACTTTGCAAGAATGAGCTAATCTCTGTGAAGATCTCTGAAGGAGAATCTGAGTGGGAAGGCGTGTCCTTAGTGACTGGTCAGCGGGGCTTCGTGCCTGCCTCAGTCCTGGAGCCTCTGCCTGTCCCTTTCCATCAGTGAGTAGCCCCCCCCCCCCCCCCCCACTTCCTGAGAGTTTCCCTGAGCAGACTGAGGTCTGTATAGAACAGAGTAGTCTTGCTTTCAGATAATGGCTTCCACAATGCTTGGAAGAGAATAAAATTGGAGTGGATTTTTATTGCTTTATTTTTTTTAATAGTTAAGAGTTATACAATTTGATGAAATTGGAGACAGCTCTAAATTTCAGAAGGATCTTGTATCTAAGAGGAAATATACCCCATGGCCTCCCCTTATGCAATATTTTTCAATCTATGGACTGAAGGCCACTTGTATTGGCATGACCTGGGGATTTCAGTACAAATCAGACTCTCTTGGGATTGGGACCAGGAGTCAATATTTTGAAATAAACTCCCCAGTGAATGTTTTTCTCACTGAAGTTTGGGAATCCCTGCTGAAGATACTATAAACGCAAACATACAGAGTGATAATAAACACTTTCCCAGAACATGGACTCCAGGTTGTCTGGCAGAGAATCTGACAGTGAGAATGTAAAGGGATCGTTTGTTAGATACTTAACTGACAAACTACTGCAGAGCCAGAAAATAACCCCAGGTCTGTTGGACCCCATTTCTTTCCACAGTGCCTGGTATAAAATCAGTTCTCAATAAGTATTCGCTGTCATTAAAATAGACAAATAACAGTACTTATGATCCTCATTATCATTTTCCTAATAGATGATTCTGCTCATTGTTCTATTTTTTTTGAAATCTATGTTTGTTTGCAAACCCCATGTTTCCATTGGCAGATGGTTCCTAAAGAATTATCCAGGAAATTGTGGTCTTTCCAGGAAGAAGGATTGGACAGGCTCCTATCAGATGGGTATGACTGAATTCAAAACACAGTATTGTTAAGGAGATGATGTTGTCCTGCCTACTAATTTTATCTGCAGGTTTGGAATAGTTGTAAATTCCTGTCTTGTTTCTGCTACTGACTGGATCTGGGGAAGTCAGTCCTATCTGTATGGGTGGGTTTTCTTGCTTGTGAAATAAGAGGTCTCAAGTCAGAGCTGCAGCTATAAATGCCTGCAGGGGTAGCCATGACCCAGGGATGTGTGGAGGGCTTAAATGGAAGGATGATAGAGATTTAAAGATGGACAGGTGAAAAAAAAAAAAACAAAAACCTTGGTGTGGGTCAAATTAAGTATTTTGTGAGCCGATTTAACTGATAGATGGCCTATTTTCAATCTCTGGGTGAAAATGTTTCTAATTTTCCTTAAAATTATTTGAAATAAAACTTGAATTCAGAAAGAATATGAATGCTGGGCACATAGTAGAGAAAATATTTGTGGAATGAATGAATGAAATATGTGAACATACACATACATATATGTTCACACATGCCTGTATTATAGGTGATCTTTACTTGTTTGTGTACACACACACACCCCTAACTGTGAGCATACATGTATCCGTTGGATAATGAAGTACCTAGAGTATACCTTCCTATCATTGTCATCTCTCAAGTTCCCTTCCCATCATGGACCCTGGCACATATCCATAGCAAAAAGGTGCAATTGTAGGAGTTCTAAGACCAAATAACACTTAAAAATAAAGAACTGGAAGGAATTATGGAACTCAGATGTTAGAGATAATCAATAACTGACCATAAACAAGATTTTTAGCTTTCTGAGGCAATGTTGCCTTATAGTTAGGAATGAGGGGCTTCAAAATCTGTTCTGGGTTCAAAGTCTGCTGCACAACTCAATACCATTGGGACCTTGACCATTCACCTGTCCTCATTATTTGTAAAATGATATAATAAAACCAGCTTCAAATGTCATCAAGAGAACTAAACATGATGGCCTCTGTAAATCATGTAGCACCTTTTCTTATTGTAGATGTCATGGTAAGTCCTGTTGTCCCACAAAGCAGGGGAATTTCTGATCTTGAAGACGTAATGGTAGAAACTTGAGGGAATTATCTGAAAAGAACTGAGCCAGTGGTGTTATAAAAGGAATAAAAGCAAACATGGAAACGGAGGCCACCATCTCCAGGAGAGCAGGATTAGTGGGAAGTTCTAGACTCAGTTTGCTACTATAAGCTTCTTGCACAATTCACTCTTAGTGCTGCTTCTACTTAGTAGTCTATACAAAGGGGTTTTGATGGTTGCTCTACCTATCTTTTAGGACTCTTGGGAAAACTCTGAGAAAATGACATAAATGTTCTTTGTAAACTGAATAGTACAACAATCATAAAGAATGATTAGATCCTAATTTGTTAGAAAATTGGGTAGTTACTGTAGTCAGAAGGAGAGACTTTTAGATCCCTCTGATCATCAGCACTTTCCATTCTATCAGTGATAAGGAGGCTGACCTCGTTTGACTAGATTCCAGGTATTGTGCACATTGTCTCTTTGATGCTAACATTTATAAGCATCAGGTGTGCTTATTATCCCCATCTCACTGTGACTGAGGGTCACAGTGGCCAAAGCAGCTGGAGGATGTATAGAGATATTCTGGTTTAGTGATCCTCGCACACTGGTTTATGGATTTGTGCTACCCATGGCCAGGTGTTTACATGGCAGTGGCAAAATCATGCCAAGACAATGCTGTGAACTTTTCAATTTTTTTATAAACCACATTTATCCAGTTTTAAGGCATATCCAGTATCTGGAGACTATCTTTCTTATGGTTTTCTAAACATTTTTTTTTAAAAATAAAATAGTGGTGGAAGTGCATCATAGTTCCTCTTTTTGAATGCCTTACTTTAGCAAAATGAGAAGCCAGTCACCCTGCGTCATTATTGCCAGTTTATTTTTTTTTGGGGGGGGGGAGTTTTACTGGTCTTTAAAGTTTTAAAGCCTGGGTCCCCTCACTTAGTCCCTGTGCACTGGCAGGTCAGGGAAGGCTTGGCTGCTGGTGCCTTATTTATGAGCTGTGTGCCATTTCCCCAGGCAGAGGACGATGCAAGGCCTCGAAGGATTATGAGCGGAAAGAAAAGGACGAACTGAGCTTCTGCCAGGGAGAAAGCATTGAGATTGTGGGCTTCGTCATCCCCGGGCTTCAGTGGTTCATTGGGAAGTCAATGAGCTCAGGAGAAGTGGGCTTTGTCCCCACCAAGAGCATAGATCCCGATTCCTGCTCTCCAATGTGAGTATGCCATGAGGTGTCATCATCTTTGAGTTGAGACTCAGTGTTCATAGGATAACGAGGCAGACCTTGGAGTTAATGGATTATATTTGGACTTAGGCATCTCGCATCTTGCCCTACATGGCAACAACTTTCAGTACCATTAAATTAATTTAGTCACCACACTTTAGCTGGCTTGGTTGTAAGGACCACACTTTCACACAGCCCCTGTATCACACAAGGAGGCCGTACCACTTTCTACTTATCCACAGTGCCATCTGTTGGTCTTCGTGGTCACCTGTGGGACCTCATGAACCACAGATTGTCCAATTTGGTAGGGAAGGGGAAAGAGAGGCTGGAGATGGGAAAAATCAAGGGGAATCGGGTCCTAGTATACCCCCAGACCCTCTCTGGGTTGCAGATCTTCTTGAACCACCGAGGAGGGTGAATTTTGAGCTCAAAGGAATGGTAGCCCAGCAAGTGGCCTCAAGCAGTGGACAGTGTGCTGAGGTCGCCTAGGTATGGGCCCTGTGCGCTGTGCCAGTGGCTGCCACTGGGTGTCACTCTGAGCCTGTGATCTTTTGGTAGGGGATTTCTGAGGATGGTCTCAGCGTTAGCTGAAGATCTCTTCTACATGGGTTCGTTCCCTCCCTATTCTTCCATGAGGTGTGTGTACACACACAAACATACCAAATTGGTCCTATATGAGAAAGGAATTCCTCCACAGGCTGTCTCCTGGGTCAGATTTAGCCTATGCCTCTGACCCATAGGGAAGGGCCCCTGCTTGTCCAGGAAAGTAAAACTGTGGATTTCCTTTTTCTCACAGCATAGGGTTTAACCCCAGCTCTCTAGTTTCTCAGCAGTGGCTGATGGAAAGCCAGTTCTTAAAACTTGCAGCCAGAATTTGCCCAAATAGATAAAGTATTTGGGTTTGGCCAGAGTGGCACTGGGGAACTTGGAGCTTCTGAGTGTGATAGAAAGTCGTATCCTTCCTTTATTAATGTTGAAAAAGATCTGTGTTTGTGTATGTTTTACAAGGCAAAAGACTTGGGGGATCTTTTTACCCCATCTGACTTTTTATCTTCTGATTTCCTGCTCCAGAGGCAAATGCTGCTTGAAGTTGCTTTGTTTTCTTTTCAGTCTTTTTTTCTGATACTTTTAAAAATTGTTAATTGTTTATAAGAAAAAATTTGATATTACCTACTTAAAATCTCTCATATAATTTGTTTTCTGCAACTGGCATTTTTTTCCGTTAACATTGTAAATTGAGGATTTATTCACATTGGGATAAGTATAATTCATTTGAACGGTGTTACTTAAAGAAAATGTATACACTTGCATGTCTAAACTAAAAAAAAAAAGAACAAGATTGGTACATTAGTGCACTCAAGATAAGAAAAAAACATAAAGAAAAGATAGTATTACAAATTTTAAAAATTCTATCTTTTGTTATATCCTCATTTTAGTCTTCATATTATCTTTGTCTTTTTTTATATTTTCCATTTCTTGTGGCAGATATTTTTGCTGTTGAGAATTTTGTTGTTAGTTTCATAGCTGTTTCTATGTAGGTAAGCAGTATTTTTTCTAAGTTTCTAATTTTTTTTCTTTGTCATTGATGAAACCATACAATTATACCATATGATATATTCTATCATAAATTTATAGTAGATTATTTACTTTATTCTTCAAAAAGTACCTCTATTAGTAGTTATTTCAGGGAAGATGTGTGAATTGTAAATACTTCTAGTAATTTGTTCTTTGTCTTACATATACTGAAACATATACTCTTGGACGATAATTTAACTAGATACAGAATAGCATCTTCAAAGTGTGAGGGAAAGTAACTATTAATATAAATTTCTAAGTCCATTTTCAGCATTTTATTTTATTAGTTTTTTTAGAGAGCCATTTTTTTCCCTTTGGTCAACCATGTTTTTAAAATTACATTAACATTTTAAAATTACATTAACATCCACAATGTCATTTGTCAGTTTCCTTGAACTCTCTCCAAGTACCTCTCTCCAACATTTACATTGATTATTTTCTTATTCATTTTGTTTCTATTTCATTAGTCTATGTTATTATTGTTTAGATTTAATTCTTTAATCCCATGAAATTGAACAGTGAAGTAATAGATAATTGAACCCAGAAGGAAAAATTAGGAGAAATGGACAATTTGAAAAGACCTATAAACATGAAGAAATGGACCTCCTGTTAAAAATGATACTATTTTTATTTATTTTGCTCAGGATTTGGTGTGCTTCTTCAATCAGAAGACTCATGTCTTTCTTCAATTCTGGAAAATTCTCAATCATTCTCCCTTTGAATACTGCCTCTCTCTCATTCTTTAATCTCTCTTGTGGAATTCCTTTCAGAGGTATGTTGGACCCATTCTATCCTCAATCTTACTTAATCAGTTCTTTTGTAATAGTTCACCATTTTTTACTTTAGACCACATTCAGGGTAATTTCATCAAAATGATCTTCAGTTTCACTAATTTTTTCCTCAGCTGTAACTAAACTTGCTATTTAATCTCCTACCCCCAAATGGCACATTGTCTTTAATTTCCATGCCTTTGTTTTCTATTTGAATTTTCCTAGTGTTCACAGATGGTTGTTTCTCCTTTTGCAATGTTTCATCTTTTCTTTGAAGTTTCTATTCATTCTATTTATTTCATTGTTTTAACCAGGCTTATAAATTATTCTTTGGATTAGTGCTATTTCTAGCTGTGCAGAATATATTTACCTGAGTATGCATCTTCTGGATATCAATGTCTTTGTGGGAAGTTCATTTTCTTAATTTGTACTTTTGGATTTGTATTTTTTTGTTATGTGGAGTAATTTCCAACATTTAGAAGTGTTGCATGAATCATGGACTGAAGAAAATTTCCCTGTGGATTAAGTTTTACACTTGCTTCTCCTGGAATCCTAGGAACTCATGATCCAGGACTAATTTTTTTACTGTTGTTCTTTGTGGCACCTTCACTGTACAGTGTAAATTCAGATTCCACACCTTCAATGGTGTAGGCCTAGTTGTTTGATTTTTTTTTTCCCTAGGGATTCAGGTAGATGAAAAGTGTGCTCTTGACAGTCAGTGCAAAGTTTTCCACTCATCTCTTTGAGGAAGTTGTTACCCTTTCGAAGTCCAGACTTTATGAATAGAGCTTAATTCAGCTCCCTGCTTGACACAGGTTCAAAGTCACATCTCCTGACCCTGGGGATCATTGTAAGGTGAGCCCCACTTCTGAGGGCCAGTATCTGAGTTGAAACTATCAGGGTCTCTGGGCCAACTACTTTAACTTACCAACCTGATTTTGGTTTCTGCTTTATTTTCTGGATCCCAGGGATTTCCCTTTCTTTATTGTTAAAGCAAGGCTCACAGTAATTATCTCTGCTGTACATTATCCAAGATTTGTGTGTCCAGAGAGAAGAGCCCTTTAGAATACTTTAGGCTATCGTATTGCCAGAAGCTTTGCCATATTCTTCTAACCAAGCTTTCATTTTGGAAATCCACAACGTCATTGTCAGTTTCCTGAACTCTTTCCAAGTACCTGAAAGTCAGAACTCTAGCAGATCAAGTCTGAGGCAGTGGACCTTAGAGGTACAAGACCTAAGATTCAGTCTCAGCTTCATCACTTTGAGGCTGTGTAATTCTGAACATGGACTCTTTCATAACCATTTTCTTCACCTATGAACATGGATTTAAACACCTACATCATAGAGTTATTAGGAACAGTACATGAGTTGGGCAACTCTTTGAGGAGAATCTGGAGATCAGGCCAGAGAAATGGGGGCTCAGTGGACATGGTGAGATAAACCCTGGGCCAGAATCAGGACATGGCTCTAGTACCAGTTCTGCCATTAATTACTGCGGTAGCCCTGAGCACTTCATGTAGTTGCAAGTTTCTTTTTTGGATTTTAAGCTGCCTTACCAGAGCTATGGAGACAAAGGGTGAGTGGCTGGCCACAGCACACCCTCCTGAATTCTATTATTCCCTGATCTACCACATCCAAAACACACACTTCAGTTTTCGGTGCCTCCATTTCTTCCTCTGCAAAAAAGGTGTAAATTGTACCTGCCTTGAGCTCATAGGACAAGGTACCAGACAGGAGAAAGAGACACAGAGGGACAACTCTGGAGATTTTCGAGGAACCCCTACCTCTTCTGCAGAGGAGGCTCAGTGTATGCATGAGGGAAAACTCCTTGGGCTTGGTGAATTAACCACCTTAAAGACAGTGCTTGATGCTGACTCAGTGCCAGGAGCAGGGCCTGTTCCTACCAGCCACCCTGGAGCACCTTATAATTCCCCAGGGTAGTCAATAGAGCACTTAGAAGTGTCTTCCATAGTGGGAAAACTGGCCTGGAATTAATCCTAGTTGAAGTAAGTAGACATTGACTCCTTTTGATAACATTTTCTTGTTGTAGATGAAAATATTGCTTCATTAAAAATATTAATGCACACACACAAAATTGTACATGCCTCATAGGGCAATTATGGGGATTAAATGAGATAATAGTGTATGATTCATTATAACCCTCCAAAAGTATTAGCCATTATTAACTCTTGGATTTCTCAGGTAATTGTTTAGGCATAAGAAAGACAATGGAATGAATCTGACCTAACTTTCCTATGAATATATATGAATATGCCACAGTGAGTGTCAGTATTGTGTACATCCACAAGCCTGGGATCCATATCTTATATCCATAAGATATACTCTATGTTTGTATAAATGTAGAAATAGACTCTGTTGTCATGTATAACTAAAAAGAACAAATAAAACTTAAAAAAAAAATTGGCCCTGAGGTTCAAAAACAATTGAAAGTGATCTTAAAACATTTTCAGCTAGGTAGTCGATTGAATGCTTCCTAAGGCATTTCTAGTTGCAAATTCTTAACTAATTCCATGTAAATTTTTAACAACTCCATAACACATATCTAGTAAGCAAACTAGTCTTAACAATCAGGTTACACAGCAGGATGAGTACAAAGATCCTTTGTTTATGATCATTTCTTCCAGGCCCCTGACTCCCTTACCCATGCTTTTTCTCCCTTCATATTACATAATGCTGTTCTCTGCCATGTAATCAAGTCTCAGCAACTGTGACAGATTCCTTCCCACCACAGTGAAACTCTCTTCATTGTTCCTCTAGATTGTATTACTTGTCCCTAAATTTTTCCTCAAATAGCCTAAGGGCAAAGAAACTTCTTTTAATGGTTCCTTTCCAATCTTTATACTTCAGACAACCAGATCCTATTTATCCCATTAAAACTGGGCATCATGTGGCCTCAAAGAGTGGGTTGTGGTTGAGAGAGAGGGATTTTTTTTTTCTTGCCGAGGGAGGAATGGAGTTTTAGGAAGAAGGGTGTTTGCTTTTCCACTTTGACCTACTTTGATAACCACACAGCTCAGTTCTCTGTGCACGAGGTGCTAATAGCTCTTTTTCTTTGGCAGGAAAAATATAATTTGCAACAGTAAGATGAAGAGTCTGATTTCAGCCACAAGCAATGGGTTGATTGCTTCTCTAAGTTCTTTACTGCATCCTAAGAACAAAGAGAAGGAGAGGGAGCCTGGAACCTGGCACTGACCTGTCTCTGTCTTGTGCCCCAATGTAGGAGCAAGAACTCTGCGTTTTTCAGTGATGAGGAAAGGTGCTCACTGTGGGCCCTGGGAAACAACAAGAAAGAGGAGTGTGCCAGCTTCCTCCACGCACTGGCTCAGACTGACATCACATCTGTCTACAGGCTTAGTGAGTGTTTGGTCTTTAACCTCCTCAACTAGGAGGGTATCCCTACTCAGGAATAGACTATCTCTAAATTCTAATCCCATCCAGGAATTTGGGGCCATGGTCATTATTCAGTTGATGACTGGATCATATTTGATTAGCTGCATTTCACTTTAGATTTCAGATAATTCTGACAATGCACAGGACATATTGTCTAGAAACTATGAGATAAGATGAAATCCACTTGCCTACACCGTGAGCGTCAGCTGCATTGGGTCTTCCATCCCAACCTCAGAAAAGAATTTTCTAAACTCTGGCTGAAGTCCCTCTTTTGAGGGATGAAATAAAAACCTAATAAGAAAGAAAGATGGGGATCATAGGATGTCCCAGCTGGAAGGGCCCTAAGAGATGATATCTCCCCTCATTTTCCATACTGGGAAATTGAGGTCCAAATGAATTAATGCCAGATAAGAACTGCTGTCTTCTAACTACCCATCAGGACAGTCCCTTTCACCACACTGCCCCAGACAAAATGGTATTGGGCTCTTGGATACATTCGCCTTGTGGGGGGGGGGGGCTCAGTGCCTGGCACATTTTCCTCAATTTCTGAAAGACTGGGTGAGCAAATGAATGGATGATACTGATTTCCTGTGGAAAGCACATTCATTCTCTGATGATGGTTTGAAGAAGAATTCTTTTTCTTTCACCTCTTCAATGATGGTGATGTTGTATCCACTCCTGTGTAGATGGGCCATATTTCATGGGTACATCCAGAGATACTGCATGAGGCACTGTCAGGCCAACTCCCAGGATATAGGAGGGGGTTGGAGACTTTATCCATGCATAAGGAGGAACATTTACCCCAGATATCAGCTCCCAGCCCAGCTTTGCTTTTGAGCAGATCACAGCGGTCCATAAAACTGAGGCAGCCAGTTGAAGCTGACACTGCCTAGTAGATGTGGGTGAAGACTGAAAACCAAGGAAAGCTCAGGGTGTGCCACGGGAGGGCAGAGGCGGGTGGCAGACTTGGGTCAGAGGTTATCTGCTACTCTTCATCTATTGGTTGTGAGACCCAAGGGTAGGCCCAGGCAGCATGTTGTCTTTTGTTAAAGGTCAGGGGTGCAGCTGTGCTGAGCTTAGGTTGTGCCCTAGAGTCATGCAGCCGCCCTGGCACTGAAGCAATTGGCAGAGGGCTGTCTCAATGATAGAGTCCAGCTTTCTTGACCTGTAACTTGGGAAGGAGTGACCCTCTGATTCATCTTCCCATCTGGTAACTCATTTGTGCTCTTGATGTCCTGGCCCCAAGATAAATGACTGCAGTAAGACTGGCACACACCTCTCAGTGTCAGAGAGGCCAGGGCATGTAAGCAGTTTTCCAGAGCCAAGCTCCTCAGCTCTCCATCTTTAGCTGTGGGGGCTCCACTCTACAAGTTGCAGACTTTGAGTGTCTGCAGTGACCGTCTCAGAAGCAGGCTTCCCTGGATAGCAGAAGGAAGAAGGTTGACTCAATGAGGGGCCTGCGGGTCTTCCATGTTCTCTGGCAACCCAGAAGGGGCCCACAGACAGCTGTTGCTTTTCTGTCAGGAAGAGGTGGAATCTTCTTTTTAGCAACCCCCATCTGTGGCTTATGAATCTGGCCTTTACCTCCTCAGCTCCACGGTGGCTCTTCAGGCAAGAGTGTTAATTTATTCACTGCCGAGCTCAACGTGACTTCTTGGTTCTTACCTCATTTGTTTTACTTTTGTGATGCTTGGTGCCTGCATCCCAAGACACCTTGGCCTCTGCGACTTTCCTCTCTTTGCCATTTTGGTCTCCTTCTGCCAGAAATGCTAGTGTTCTTCAGGCTTATTAACTAATCTCCTGCTCCTGTTCTCCCTCCCTTCCTGCTCTATTCTCCTTCCAAATGCTTTGCCTGTGTGATCACATTCCATCCTGGGACGTTGGCCAGCTCCTGGTGACCTGCTGTGGGCCACAAATCTGTATTTGCAGTCTCCGCTTTGCTCCTTAGATCCAGACCTACTTTATTCTCTGCTGAGAGCTCCTGCAAGTAACTCAAAATTAAGATGGCTAAAGCTGTACTCAGGATTCTCCTTTCTTCCTCCTCATCCCACCTGTGTACTTCAGGGAACAAAACTGGGCACCTCAGAGGCATTTTGCTCTTTATTCCTTACCTAGTCCCCCTGCTTGTGCCACTTTTACCAAGCGCAGTGTCCAGTGCCTTGTGCACATTAATCCATGCTTGTCAAGTGGATGGGTGACGAGTGAATGGAGCAGTGTCACACCCCGCCAGATGCTCTGCACTTGGAGTTCAGGCCTGGCTCTGTGGAAACTTGCTGAGAGTTTTGCATCTTTCTGGCCTTCAGATTTTATCATCCCCCCACCCCATACCAGCCTTTTGGTATAGAGCTTGTTTCCAGATTTCCTTCTCTGACTCTGGGTCTCAGTTCCCAACTGTAAAGTGTAAGGGTTAAACAGGAAGGTCGTGTCCATACAGCTCTTAAACTGATGTGAAAGGGGCAGGTTCTGCCATTTTTAAATGATAACCGATGGTCTGAAACTTCACTACGAAGCTTCCCTAGGGGTTCCTGGCCTGGGTCCCTGGAGGCATCGGCATGGTGACTCATTCTGACCTAACATTAGGTCTGTCCTTCATCTCTACCTAGGTGGGTTTGAATCCATCCAGAATCTTCCCAATGATTTGAGCGGTGAGTAGAAATTATGCTGAACCTGGCCTCTCCTCCTTCAGGTCAGCTCGCTTGTCCTCTTGCCTAAGTTGCAGATGCTCAGGGTTGCTCAACTCTGCCTATCCTTATAGCATCCCAGGCTGAAGGCTTCCACGAGGCCAGGTCTGGTGGAGCCTGGGAGGAGCGACAGTTCGTGGGCTCCAGATACTCCAGCAGCTCCGGGGACTCCCACCTGGAGGAGGAGGAGCTCCTCTCAGCCGCCTCTGACAGCTATCTCCTCCCGGAACCTGATGACCTTGATGATCCCGAACTTTTCATGGACCTCAACCCTGATCAGGATGAGGAGGAGGCTGATAACTTTAGCTCCATATTGGCTTTTTTGGATCATGAGGGTTACACGGACAACTTTAAGAGCCTGTACGATTTCTCCTTCTCTTTTCTTACTTCTTCGTTTTACAACTTCTCTGAAGAGGATGAGCTTGTGGCCTATCTGGAGGCCTCCAGGAAGTGGGCCAAGAAGAGCCATATGACCTGGGCGCATGCCCGGCTCTGCTTCCTCTTGGGCCGGCTGAGTGTCAGGAAAGTCAAGCTCTCCCAGGCCAGGGTGTACTTTGAGGAGGCCATCCACATTCTCGATGGGGCCTTTGGGGACCTATCCTTGGTGGCCTCTCTGTACATCCACTTGGCTGCCATCTATCTGAGACAGAGGCTGGTGCATAAAGGCCCAGGCCTGCTGGAAAAGGCAGGGGCTCTGCTGGCCTGCCTGCCGGACCGTGAGTCCAGTGCCAAGAGCGAGCTTGATGTGGTGGCCTATGTGCTGCGCCAGGGGATTGTGGAGGGCAGCAGCCCCCTGGAGGCCAGGGCCTGCTTTCTGGCCATTCAATTGCTCCTGAAGCTAGGCCGGCATGAGGAAGTCCTGCCCTTTGCTGAGCGCCTGCAGCTCTTGTCTGGACATCCTCCTCCTTCAGATGCTATGGCCACCATCTTGAGTTTTCTCTATGACAAGAAATATCTTCCGCATCTTGCAGTGGCCTCTGTCCAGCAACGTGGTACTCAGAGCGCTCAGGGCACATCTTTTCCGGTTTGGCAGGTCTACTTGGTCCTCCAGAATACCCCCAAACTCCTTGGCATTTGTTCCTCAAGCTGGGGTGAAGTTTCTGCCCTGGCCTGCCCAATACTCAGACAGTCGCTGGCTGCCTGTGAGGAACAAGCTGACTGGAGTACCCAGAGGGCTCTGTGTCTCATCCTGTCCAAAACATACCTCCAACACAGGTCTCCTGATGGTGCCATCCACTACCTAAGCCAGTCCTTGATGCTGGGGCAGCTGCTGGGTGAGCCAGAAGTCTTTGAGTCTTCCCTCTGTCTGGCATGGGCCTATCTCTTAGCCAGACAGGCGAAGAAGGCTCTGGAAATTCTTGAGCCACTGTTATGCTCCCTGAAGGAGACAGAAAGTGTTGCCCAAAGTGGAGTGGTCCATAACCTCCTGGGGCTTGCACTCCTAGATGAAGGCTGTGTGAGCAGAGCTGCCATGAACTATCTCCAGGCCTTGAACAGAGCTTGGGAGATGGGGGATGTACATAACCAGGCAGTGATTATGGCCAATCTTGGTTACCTGACCTTCAAGTCCTGGGCTCCACAGCCAGCCAGGGACTTTCTCCTTCAGGCAGTCCAACTCTATTCTGAACTCCAGACCTGCAAGGAGACCGACATGGAATTAGTACAGGTGCTTCTCTGGCTGGCTCAAGTTCTGGTGTCTGAACACCAGCTGACCCACGGTCGCCTATGTTATGAAATGGCGTTGCTGTTTGGCTTAAGGCATCAACATTTAAAGAGTGAGTATGTCCCATGCTGCTGGGGAGCATTAGGGAAAATTGTTGGAACATACTTTGCTTGTGTTCTCTCTCTAGACATCTCATTCATGTCCTGCTTTATGTTCAGGTCAGCTTCAGGTCACCAAATGCCTCTGCCATTTCTACAGCTCTGTGTCCCCAAATCCTGAGGCATGCATCATGTACCATGAGCGCTGGCTGGCCCTGGCTCAGCAATTCAGGGACAGGGAGATGGAGGGGAGGCTGCTGGAGTCCCTTGGGCAGCTCTATCGAAACCTAAACACTTCCAGGTGAGTAATGCTTAGGGGCAGTCTTCGAAGTAGCTTTCTTTCCTTAAAGAGAAACAGTAATCTCTCCTTCAGGAAGAAAGTTCCTATGCACATGGCAGATGCACTGCATCATGGAAAAATAATTCTGCATTCTTCTGCAGCCTCCATGTAGTGCCATCCATCATTTAAGCTGTGTGACACTGGGCAAGTTATATACTTTCTCTGTGCCTCAGTTTCCTCATCAGTCAAAGGAGGATCTTAATGGCTTCTATCCTGAAGTGTTATTGTGAGGAATGAATGAGTTAAAGCTCAAGGCATGCTTGGAACAGGGCTGATGTATATAAAGGCTTGAGAGTGTTGACTACATCACTATTACTTGTATGTTTCCATAACAACTTATCACATGACTGTGGATGAGGGTGTGTAACTCAGAGAGGTGCATTATGCTGAGGTCCATGGAACCTTTAGGAGGTCTCCATTGTCTTCATTAAGGGACACAAAGTAAATAAATCCACTGATGATAGAGGTATAAAATTTTATGGTGAAAAGCTTGCTTGGGACCTTACCTTTAAAATGAAAGTGGAAATTATGAAACAAAGTTTATTTTCACCTATACAACTTTGTGTATAGGAGTTGACTGCTCAGATTAATTGGGTGGACAAAATTGTATAATGTAGGAGACATGTTTTGGTTTGTGATTCTCCTTTTGATGTAATCTTAAGCTTCATTTTTTTTTTCAAAAAATGCCCCAACTTAACTGTATAACCCCAGAAACGGAAGGAAACCCTCAACGTTATACGAAATCACATATAAGAGGTTGTGAGGGGAAAGGGTGGGGGAAACAAGGGAGAGAACTGAACAACAACAGATGAGGTAGAGAGGGAAGATGGGAGGGGAGGGGAGGGGGGATAGTAGGGGATAGGAAAGGCAGCAGAATACAACAGTCACTAATATGGCATTATGTAAAAATGTGAATGTGTAACCGATGTGATTCTGCAATTTGTATTTGGGGAAAAAATGGGAGTTCATAACCCACTTGAATCAAATGTATGAAAGATGATATGTCATGAGCTTTGTAATGTTTTGAACAACCAATAAAAAAAACAAAACAACAACAACAACAAAAAACTGTATAACCCCAAAGCATCTTTTAACTCGTTGGTATTCAAACTAGTCTCACCTGAAGTATCTTGTTATCTGCAGCAGATGTTCTCTATCTCTTCACTGGTCTAAGGCTACTTGGTCCTCCTTAGCCACGAGGCAGCCTACAGTTCTGTCTTCTGACAAGCCTTTTTAAGATTTCATGAAGTCCTGTAGGCTTTGCAAGATTTTCCATTTCACTTTTCAACTTATTTGCATTGTAACAATGTGTTCTTGATTACAAATAAGTTCTAAAATAGGGGGAAGGGGTACTTGTAGTATTGAGCACAGAGAAGAAGTTGAGGAGGGGCTAATTAAATGACAGCTTTTGCTTTTAGGCAACATGGTCACCTCAGGTGCCTGGATTATCAGACAACGAATAATGACATAATGAACTCTCTCTCTTCATCTAGAGCCATATCTATATCTGTATCTCCCCCTCCCTTTCCCTCTCTGTTACCCTTTTTTTGTCTCTTAAAGAAATCAGGTGTCCTCCAAACTTCCCACTGTCTTTGCCTTCAGTTCCAGGGGGGAGTTTTGGATCCATGCAGCATGGGGTGGGGGTGAGGGGGACAGGAGAGAGGCCTGGCATCAGCCTGCCCTTTTTCCATTGTAGGACACCCCAGGAGTTTGGATGCTTCTGGAGCAGATCCAAAAGGCAGGTTTCAATGAACCTTTGAGATGAAACAAACACATGCTCATGGTGAGGCACTGTAGAGCCAGGCTTTGGAAAGTTGAATGTGAGGGACTGGAGCAAGGGTGCCACGTATGTTTCAGACTTATTGCTGCCTCTTGCTGTGGTACAAGATCAGTCATAGATTAATCCTGCTCCTGGCCTTGCCAGCTATCCTTTGCTCTTCAGTCCCCCACCCCAATCACAGTTGTCGAAATCATAGATGTCCTAATAGGGAAGCCAGAGTGAAAGCCCTGGATGCGGTCAATGTTGACTACAGAAGCCGTATCTAGGTGTTCAGAATCACCATCCTTCTTAGATGATGTGGTTAAAAAGGAACGCGAGGGAAAGAGGGGCTGCAGCTGGTTCTGGAAGAGACTGAAGAAAGTAGACGCTACGGGGCTGGGAAAGGGGCAATCACACTAGATGGGTAATTGGGGAACTAGGTTCTGCTGTGACCTGATAACATGTCTTTAAACAGTCACTTTTCTTGGTTGCTGCATTTACAAAGTTAAGTTGAATCATGAACCTCCTATTTCTAAAATGTTGACTCTGGGACCAGCTACCTATGCTATTTTGTCACTGACTTGGTACCAGAATTCTTGCAGCCTCTTAAGAGTTTTGACTTTGCGTGGGGGAGGGGGAGTGGGGGGGCAGATTCTTAAAGTTGTGGGCATTTTAAAGGGATTTTGAGATCAGAGACCTAAACTTTAGAGATCTGAAAGACTTTAAAGTATGTCCACAAATTCCTGCAGGCAAACATTGTGTCTAGCATGGAGCTAGATGTACCATAAGAGCTAGATGTACTTTGTGGGCAGTCGAGTGGTAAATCAGTTACTTAGTCCACTAACTTGTGACCCTTAAGCTGCAGCTGCATGCTGACTTGGCCACAGTGATTAAGATGGAAATGGGGAGTTGTACTTGAGAGAGTCCCTGGCTCTTTAGTTCAGAGCTAGATAAGGAAAAAAGTAGCTTACAAGTAGACTCTATGGTCTTTAGTGACAAGGAAGGTGTTCAGATTTGCTTTCAGTGGAAGCTCAAATGTCCATTCCAATAGCCCTTGGAGTTCACTGGCCAATATATTAGCCACAGAACACTTTTCTTCAGAAGTATTCACTGATAAAGATCCAAGTAATGCATACTATATTAGGACATAGAGATTTGTACCCAAATGAGGGATGAAAATTTTTCCTAAAATTGAACAGTTGCTTATGGTGAGCAAACAAACAAACAAACATTAAACTGGCACTGAAGATTGTAAGTTGAAAAATAATGTAAGTCTGGGACTTTCAGCAGTCCCCAGACTCCCCAGAAGCAACTATGTAAAGATTTTAAATAGCTATAAAGAAATGTTTTATATATATGAAAGATTATATATGATGTATATTCTCTATATTAAATATTAGATGTTTTAAATATAATTTGCACATGTCTAGTCACAAATGGGATCATGATAATAGTTGTGTTGTATAATATACTGTTCTCTTACTTGCTTTTTTATTTAAAAATATCACCATGAAATGTTCCAGCATCTTATCTTTCCGATGTGTCAGGCACCATGGTTGGTGCTGGGGAATTTAATGGTTAGGAAAAAGAGTCTAAAATAACTGTTCCCAAATGGAGCATCCTACTCTGAGTGGGAGTGAGCATCTCACCATCACAAGTGTTCAAGCAGAGGCTGACTGTTCAGGAACTTATAGAAGAGTTTCCTGAATTGAGTTGGACCTTTATTGAGGTATTATAATCATATGACAAAAAATCCATCCTTTATAATGCAGCATACAATTTAGTTTTTAGTACATTCACAAAGCTGTGTAACCATCACCACCATCTAACTGTAGAATATTTTCATGACCTCCCTCCAAATCTTGAATCCATTAGTGGTCACTCCCCATTACCCATCCTCACCCCATCCCTGGAAATCACTCATCCACTGTCCATCTCTATGGATTTTTCCTATGCTGGATATTTTATATAAATGGAGTCATATAATATATGGCCTTTTGTGACTGACTTCTTTCATTTAGTATGATGCTTTCAAGGGTCATTTAGTTTGTTACATGTGTAAGTATTTTATTTTTTTTTATTGTTGGATAATATATACCACATGTGTTTATTATGTGATATACCACATTTATTTATTCATTCCAAAGTTGATGGATATTTGGCTTATTTCCATTTTGTGGCTATTATGAAGAACACAAAATGTTTCCATTTTGTGGCTATTATGAAAAATTCCTACATGAACATTCATGAACATTCATGTAGGAATTTTTGTGTGAAGATATGTTTCTAATTCTCCTAGTGTATACCTAGAAGTGGAATTACAGTCATGTGGTAACTCTGTTGGAGTGTTTGGGGGAATTCTACTGTTTTCAAAGTGCTGCACCATTCTATCCCCAAAGTGATGAATGAAGGTCCACCCAATCTCCACCCACCTTGCTCTTCCCCTGTCTTCTTCACTTTCTGTCCTAGTGGGGATGAAATGAAGCTCGTTATATTTTTTCCCCATTATGGTTTTAGTTTGCACTTCCCTACTAGCTAAAACATTGAACATCATTTCATGTGCTTACTGTCTATTCATGTATGATCTTTGGAGAAATGTCTATTCCAATCATTTGTCCATTTAAAAATTTGGTCTTTTGCCCATTTTTTGTGAAGTTATAAGAGTGTTTTTTTAATTGTCAATGGACCTTTATTTTATTTATTAATTTATTTATATGTGCTGCTGAGAATCGAACCCAGTGCCTCACACATGCTAGGCAAGCACTCTCCCACTGAGCCACAATCCCAGCCCTTGTAAGAGGTTTTTTTTTTTTTAATTATTTTGGATACAAGTCTCTTATGAGAAAGCATTTTATTCCAACTCATGGGTTGTGTTTTCACTCTTTTGATTGCCTCATAGAATGAGTTGGGAAATCGTCCTTCCTCTTTCTATATTTTTTTTGGTAAGAGTTTGTGAAGGGTTGGTGTTAATTCTTCTTTACATTTTTGGTAGAATTCTGTCATTTTTTCTGCATGTAATTTAGGGCTCCATCATTAGGTGCTTACATATCTATAATTGCATTTTCCTTATGGATCAACTATCTTATCACTGTCAAATGTCCCTCATTGTCTTTAGTGGCAATTTTGTTCCTTTTGTCCAATTTTGAACAGGCACTTCAGGTCCTTTCGTACTTTTTGCATAATTTATATATTTTTACTTTCT